TGAAATCCCTAAAAACGGACGCAAAGTCAAATGGCACAGAGACTCTGCAAAAAAAAAAATCCCATCCTAATTTCTTATCATGATCACTCACTTCTGATACGTTTTTTTTTTTTAATCAAGCACTATATCTCGACACCGTTTTCCATTCAATTAAACAAAATTCTTGCTCACTTTTTGTCCGCTATCGTTCCCCAGATCTGTGTTTCGCACCGGGACGAGCAATTACCCGTTTTTACGCGGTGGCCCGTCGCTGGCTAGCTTGGCTGGGGCTGTGCACTGACAGGGCGACGACAGAAATATCCCAGGAGACGGTGTTTGCGTTGGGGCACACCGGAAGGACAGAAATATCCCGCAGGCGGGGGGGGGGGGACGGCGGGGGGGGGGGGGGGGCGGTAGGTCTCGGCAGGTGGGACGACGCGTCAAATGTCAGGTGACACAACCACAAGAAGCGGCGCGGCGGGCGGTTGGGGCAGTCCAGATACTCCAGAAGCCAGCCTGGTTCAGCGGGTTTTGTTCCCGATGCTGCAAACATTGATGGAGACGGAACTGGGCTATATAAAACGAAGCGGCTATCATCGAGTGAACGATCCAATTGAATAAAAAAGCAAGTTTTCTTAGCTAGGCACAGCATCGACGTCTGAGCGACTTCTAATTTCGGAACTTTTGATTTCACCCAAGCGCTCGCCACGCTCCTTATGTTAACTTCGCCGCAGGTGACACAAACATGCCACTTCCCGACAAACCCCCTGATGACCGCAGCGACCCTCCAGTCGTCCCATCCCTCGCCGTGCGGTCCCAGCATGGTACCGGGACCAGTACCATCCAAACATCCGGTAAAGAGCGGCCCGACGCGGCGCCACCCGCTCCGACTTTCACTGAGGTCACGAGTCGGCGTCTCACCGAGGTCACAGGGGTCAGCGCGGGGTCACCGGCGGCTGACCGGGCGACCTTGTGACCGGCGACACCGCAGCTCCACACCTACACGGGAGAAATCGGAGGCTGATACGGCGCCGACTGATGAGGGGCCAGAGGCCCCTCAGCATGTGCTGAAGGGCCAGAGGCCCTTCAGCACATCCCGTGAGACCAACCACTGGCTAAGTTGGGATTTACATCGTGGAATGGAACTTCCTACGACACAATGTAATTCAAGGTCGACTGGCGACTGTCCTGCGCCTCCTTCCCACATATATGAAACAGATGAGTGGTGATTAGCTGGGAACGACAAGGAAGTCCTTTCACAACAGCATAAAAAGTCTCGTCTGGATAGAGTTATGTCGTTAGTAACGAGTCAAATGACCAGCTCATCTGTGTAGTCATTAGGCTGTATGTATCCAAACATGTCCCAAATTTCCGCCCACAAACACGTCCATCATAGTCGTAAGGCTCACATCACCCCATATCTCAGCTTCGCCCGGCTGTCGGTCCCTCCCATAGAGGCACCTTCAATGAATACATCACACGCCGTACCACGTCTCTCACGATTGCTATGCATAGAATCTGGACCAGGGTGATCCGTCGCATGAGGGTGTAATCTCTTCCGTCCATCGGATAGTGAGACAGCGAGTGGGGGAATTATTCGCCATGTAGGTAAAGACGGTCACCCTGTGAGTGTCGGGATAGCAGATGGAGGGAGAACGGATAGGAGCGTGTGTAACCAGCGCAACTGCAACAGATATGGGCCTCGTTTCATAAAAGGAATTACTTACGGCGTTCCGTCAATTATGCCAGATTTGGCGTATTTGATACCAATTCGGATTCATAAAGCCGGAGACCGGAGTAATTCACGCCATCGAAAGTACGGAGCTTCATTTACGGCAAATGCTCGATTCCGGACCAATTGATGCCATTTGGGTTTCATAAAACGACGTAATTAACGCCAAATATTTTATCAAGCTCTTGATATCAGTGGTGTAAACTACGCACAAAAATGTTGCGTGATTTTGAATTAATGTGAAGATTCGAAGCTAGTTTTTAATATATTTTATAATGTTGAGCCCGGTGAGAAAGAAAGAACAGCCAACACGAGAAAAAGAAACTGCAAATCTTCTGTACCAGTCGCTTTTTGTGGCCACTATCGGAATTTTGTTTATTCGCCGCGCCGCGCCACTTTCGTAGTTAGGCACTTCTGCTTAGCTGGCTTTCTGCTGTTTTTAATATATTGTTTTAATAAAGGATGGTCATCAATATCAATTTTGTTTTTTCATAAATAATTTTTAAGATTTAAATTCAACATAATTGTTTTATAATTTCTCGTAAAAAAATAAGTGTTGACATGAAATTGTAATTTGTAGGACGCTTGATAAATTACGGTAACTACGCAAATGTGCTTGGCTACGGAGGTGTAAACAATTCCAGTTGGGGCTTTGTGAAACGGCTTTATTTGCGCTCCGTAGTTTGAAAGGGTGTGAATTACGGAAAGGTGTAAGTTACGGCAGAGCTTTATGAAACGAGGCCCTGGTGACGCAGAAGGGTGCGGACTGCTAAGTACTCGCCACGTCGGTGCACATCTAAACCAATACCACAAAGAATGAAAGCACCAGAGCCATGTTACAATTTCAGCGGCTACGGTCGACGGTTTGGCTGTATTTTGTGACATCCGGTTCAGTAGGAAAGTGAAGAGCACAGTTGAACGCGCGGCTTGGCCCGCCGCCTACAGCAGCCACTCACAGAGTAACCTGAGGACCCGACCAAAGACGCTGAGACAGAAGCCATTCCAGCTATGACTGAAATTCCGACCCAACCTGGCTAGAGACAGGACCATTCCGCCCTCGGCTTCACCTGCCCCCAATTCAGGTCAGCGGGCAGCGCGCAGATCCTATCGTAAGAACCGGAGCCAGGAACTGAGTGGTAGTGTGAGTAAAAACCCGGCGAGCTGTAATTAGCGGCTGCTGAACCGTGGGGCGTGCGCTGCTCTCAGATGGAGGGAACGGGAGGAAGAGAAGCTTTGGTCAGTGACCAGCAAAGTTTCACAAAAGTCACGCACGAAAAGATGTGGGGAAACGATTCAGATGGGTGATAAGTAGGTACCTTATAATACTTATATAAATTCGTTCACACCACAAATTTCTATCGATTATTTTGTCACGATTGGGAGCCACGTCGGGCCACTGAAGAGTGATGACCTCGGACATCCAGGTTCGTCTGGCGCTGCCGCAGGGTACTAACCAGTGAAGACAGACACAATAAAAATTAGCCGCTGCCGCCGGTAATGGCACCGCCACAGGCCAGTCCTAATCCTTGCCGTGGTATTCCGGCGCGGAGCGACCCTCTCCGCGTAATATGAAGGTCACTGGGGTACGACAGCTGGACCGCCGGAACTGAGCACCGGGAAGATCACGCACGGACCGGAGTGGGAGTGTGGGACGGATCACACGCGCGGGCGGGACGGACCACGCACAAAAGTGGAGATCTCACACGGACGAGAATAAACGTCGACACAGTACAGGGCACTGCTAGGGGCTAGAGACACGGAACACTGGACAGGTAAAACAGAGAAAACATGAGGTGGGAGCAGGACCAATTCTGGCGTTCTCGCCTTTTGACTATACGCTGAGACCCCCTTCAGCTAGAAGAGTTAGTGGCGCAGCTCCCGTAACAACCTCACGGAGTCTAGACGTCGGTGTCTCCGCAGAGACCAATTTCGTCTCTCCGACAGAGACGGCGTGGTCTGCGTGCTCCAGATCGGGAGACACCCACAGACCGGCACGGAGACATTGCCACACCACAGACGGCAAAACAGGGACATCAGCTGCCGACCGGGGAACTGGATCAGGCACAGCTCCGCTCGTGGGAAACGGCACCGATCGGCCGACCGCGACGCCGCGCGCGCTCAGAAAACTGGCCAACGGAGCGACCTCAGCCACAACTGAGCTGGGGTGTGTGTTACTTCACTTAATGAGGAAATTTGAGAGCAGAGTGGACGAGCACAAGATTCCAAAATTAGTCAGTTGTTCACAGAAACAATCCAAATGATGAGAACTTCCAGTAAAAACAGACCTACATGACAGCTCATCGTTGAGAGGGAAAGACTGATGTTCGGGAAAGGCGGCCGCGACCAGGGATAATTCCTCCCTCCCAGCTCCCAACACTGCACTGAGGAGTGACATCTCCCGGAAGGAAGGTGCCTAATGCGATCATCTGCGCGGCCCCGGACTGCTGACGTCACGGCCGGAGACAACGGACCGGATCTTCCCACAGCAGCATCGGACCGTCGCAGGACCACCAGACCATCCCCATTCCCCACAGCGCCACTGGACCATTGCCGGATCGCCACAGGAGCATCACGGGACCCTTCCCGGGCCATCACAGGAACATCCTAGAATAAACGGACCATCCCCTCACAGTCATCGGACCATCACGGGACCATCTAAAGCTCCGGACCGTCACAGGTCGTCGCGCAGGATCATCACTAGACAATTACGGGATCATCACGGACCCAACATCAGATCAACCGGCTTCTGAATTCAGTCATCAAAAAAGGATGTGCAGACAATCAGAGTGCAGCTGATGGATCTATTGACGGCACAATCAGCACAAAAGGACGCACATTTCGTGATTAAGTAGCGCTGCAAGACGTCCAAGATGCGACACGCCGTTCTCCACCACAGCTGTGTTACCCACAGCAAAAAAAAAGCCGGACAGCCTCCCGTCACGAGAGAGCTTTCTGCATAGAAAGTGCCGGCAATGCTACAAAAAAGGCCGGCGGCACCTGACTCCGCGCCCGGAGGTGTGACTCCCCTACTGCCCAATGAACATTGGTCCTCAGTTTTCACAGAAGGCAGATGGCTTCCACCGGACAGAAATTCCAGAGTAGTAGGATATAGCCTTACCAAAAGCACTGGGACAACACCAATGCCACAAAAGAGGTACCCTGACAGGGGTACCCGAGGCACCATTTGAAGGTAGGTACGTCCTACCACAGGTACCCTGACAGTACCCCTCTCACATATCCCATTTGACACACCCCTCCGCCCGGTCCGGCGGGGCGGGCGGCGGCTCACCTGAAGTCAGCCAATCCCTCGACCAGTCACGCTCTCTCCCGCTCGCTCGTTCCACACGCCACGCGCGGCCCGGCCGGAGCCTCAGCCGGCACTCCGCCGAGCCGGCAGCATTCAGCACTCCGGGACACTCACAAACTCCTAACTCCGACACTCACTGGCTACCGTCGGCACTCAGTCGAAGTACCAGACCCCGCACTCGGTTTAAGGATCAGAAACCCACAGATCACAGAAGAAGGCACCGGCTTCCAGCGCACGGGGCCGGCACACCACACCCCGACGGCATCGCCCACTCGACTGAACGCCGGCCGCCGCCCGCCCCACGGTCACGTGACCAGGCTACGCCCCCGGCGTGGCGGCGGACCGTAGCGACATCTATACTAGCCTTACCCTGACACCTAGCGGCGGGAAGAGAAGCACGTATAACTAAGGACGGGCGAACCATGACTTGCTGACAGAGTATTGAATGGTGTCCATTATATAATCGCGTGTCCCATGTCCATATAGGCATGTCCAGATCACGCAGTAACAACATGTAAGCACCGACGTTAAATTTAAGACTTAAGTGAATGTAAGAGCACAGATGAGATATGAACTCAATACTCCATAGTAACAAAGAGCAAATAAATAAGTCAACTGTAACCGTAAAACATCTACTGACAAGGAAAGGAGAACGAGATAGTCACTTGAAGTAGTGCATGACGGGCTCAGGTGTCGGGGGCGGGTCTGTAGGTAGAATCAGTGTGGGTTACCAATTTCAGTTACCGTACCTGAGTCTAAAAAACCGTATGCATTGCAGACTGAGTCACGAAGTTTGTTTATTGGGGCTTTAGGTCGCGTCGGGAAGGTCTGATCCACAGCTTCCGTCGCTTCCATTCCATTGAGAACACTCTCTGCACTATCACACACAATTACAGCGATTGGTGTAGCAAAGCGGCATTACATTCAGCAAAAGCGCCTTTGTGGATTCGGTTAGCCGACGGGTAGAACTACTCTGTGTCACCGTACAAATACGGGATGGTGCGAAAAAGACAGTGAATAGAAGACTAAGAATGGGAATAACCATATTTGATGTATCATGCAAATGTAAAGAGGAGTTGTGTTTGTGATAAATGGATTTCATTTCACATTAGTGCAGCATGTAAGCACCCAGCATAAATACAGAACGAAAAACAAAATATGCGGAGAATCCAGGCTTAACCTCCTAACCACGTCTGACTGCTCGACCCAGCGCCATGTCCAACAATATAGGATAAGTTTATGGCATTAGTAACCAGAGCAGGAGCCTCTTAGCAACCAAAACCATGGATTACAACCACAAATAACCATGGACTTTGGTTATCCAATGTCCATATTGAAGCCTTGTCAGGGAAAAGACCGGAAAACATACCCGGGATCGGGCAGGGTACCGCCCCCATTACCCGCCCAGGGAACTGACAACGACACAGGCCGGGGAACCAAACCAGGAGCCAGCCCTGGTGCCGGGCCTGGCGACAAAGCACTTACCTCCATGGCGGCCACTGTCGTTCCGCTGTCCTCTCCCAGCTGTACACAGTAGTGCGGGACGGTCGGTGAGATTAACACCTCAGCAGCGTCACCGCACACCACGAGCACACACTCCACTCCGACGAAGCACGGCTGCAACAGACACAGCGGAGGCACCGTCAACATTGAGAACGGAACCGAGGACTCTATGACAGAGTAGTTATGAGAGGACGGAGCACTCTTATGAGAAAACTGGTATACCATGAACGTGGAACGCTGCCGCGGATACGATGGTACGGGACAGCAGTACATGGTTATGAAACTATGGATACTCTGTCAAAAGTGAGCAGTGCCATGGACTATGTATGGTAGAGTATGAGAGGACAGACCACTGTTGAGACAGCATTTGCACTATGAAGTGTAGTGTAGGCCCAGGTACAGAGGAGTAAGAAGGCTAGTATGTGAGCCATGCAGCGCAACTTTGTTGGCTGTATGGTTGTACCAAACCTCAGAAAGCTATGTTTTTTAATGACAAAGCAAATTGAAAGCTTCAAGAACCTTAATATGATGTTAAAAAATGATTTTTTTCACAACATATTTTTTCAAATAACTATATCATAATCTTAATAGTTAATTCTTCACTCAGATGTCAAACAGGCCTTGGTCTTTCAGTTGCTATGAAGGGGGGGGGGGGGGGGCTCATGATTTTTAGTTTCAAAATTGTACTTTCACCACAATTGTATGCTTATGAAGGGTCATTGGCAAAGCTTTCACATAATTTTTAGTTTCAAAATTGTACTCTTTCCATAGTTTTACGCCTATGAAAGAACGCAGAGTCAGACAGACTACTGGGCACATAATCAGTCAATAAATGGATATCAGCTGCAGGCATTCAGGGTTGGCATAACAGACTTAAATTGTTTGAGTTAAAACATTTGGGTTTTGCTAATAATATTGTGACTAACTAGGACTAACTTAACACTAAAAAATACTGCTGATAGATATGTAAGTCAAGTGCATAAAAACATGACAGAAGTTGTCATCTGATGTAAGCTTGTTCTTGTTCTTGTTGGGGTAGGATGTGTAGCCTTGCGACCCAGACATCCAACTTTTCTGATTAAAGTACATGACATTATAACTATCATATGCAGGGGAATGGGTCATTCAAGTCATTTGCCTCTCCACAGCATCTGCAATTGACGAAATTAACAAACTGATGATAGTTGAAGAAATGACGAAAAACGTAACAATGAACATCTTCAAAAGTTTGAAATGTTCTGAGCATCAGTAAAGAGGGAATTGCACGGAGGGAAAAGCAGAAGTCTAAAAATCGTGAAAAAATCATAAGAAAGTGTCTATACCATTGCCCCAGAGGTAAATCATTTTAGATTGAGCTGCAGTCACAAATATAATGGTTGGTGAACTTCCTGAATCCATCATTATTGAATATTGATGTCACTGTCACTTATCAGTTTGACACATTGCTCAAAAGCAATAAGACTTAAGTTGCCTAGAACCATTTTTTAATATAAATACCTGCAATCACAAGACGTCGTTTTGAAGAATCCACTTTTCTCTGGCAATTTCTCCATTCACATCAAATGCGCCGAACGTAAACAACCATTAGCAACAGTTCTGCGGCAGAAACTGCGCAAATTAGACAAAGGAAGGTGTACTTTGCATTATTTTGCTGTTATATGGATCAATGACGTCATGGAATTAATTCTCGTAACAGTTTCATTCAATACAAAATCTGACGAATGAAACGTCGTTTATCAATGACGTCATCAAATATTTCTTCTTGCTATTACCACTGCCAGAAGTATTTGCCTTGGTAGAGGCAGTGTGTGGTATTCTCCGCGGAGAACTTGGGTTCAAAGCCCGAGACGCGGATGCACGTGAGGTTCACCAAAAATTGACAAGCGAGCAAAGAACAAGAACAAGTCACAAGAACAAGTGAAGTGTGAGCACCCCACGTTGTTTATGTTTTATTTATTATTTTTTGGGTTGATAAGGTCACCCTGGGAAAAGTTCCAATTGTCCAAGTCCTCCAATTCACACATGTTTCTTGTTCCACAGATAACCTTAATTGCTGCACATCAAATGCCTGAGAAACATTGCTGCATATGAAGAAATAGGTATTAGTATATATAAGGTCCGAGTGGCGAACCGATTATGAAAAGCATACTATACGGTGTATTTTGACCTCCTCATTTCATATCTGATAGTTATTCCTTCTGGAACCAAATATCAAAGCACCTATGAAATACTTAGTTACCGCAAATCGCTACCGCACTCCACACCAACTCCACACTAGCGCAATGTGCCGGGCGGCAATTACTTGCGCAAAGCTGGCCAAGGTCAAGTAAATCAAGGATGATATCTAACAGTTGCTATTCAACTGTGAATAATGACGTCATAATACTTCTCGCGGCGAAGCAGCGCAGTGCCGAAGGCAATGCCTTAGGAGAGATTACAGGCAAGAGTAAATCAAATATTTTTAGGTTAAGTGGTTATGTATCTGGCTTCAGGCCGAAGGCCTGAAGCCTGATGCATGACCACTTAACCTAAAAATATTTGATATACTCTTGCCTGCAATCTATTCCTGCAAGTAACTTTTTCCTTATCCCCGGTAGGCAAACATCAGTAGGTTAGGTTAGGTTAGGTAAGTTTAGGTTAGGTTAGGTTAGGTTAGGTTAGGTTCCTTTTTTTGTAATTATGACGTCACTTTCATCACACCATTCGTATCGTTTTCTTTTTCCCCACCCAAAACCCCTGTTCCTAAAATTTCCCCTGAAATGGCAGCAATCCATATATGGCAGCGCTACAACGCCCACGTTTTTCATTCGTCGCGTGAAATTGCCGCCGGGTGGTATTGTAGTGAAATGGGTTGGTGATTTGGTGTTTTTTTCCACGTTTCCAGTACATGTAAGTATCATTTTTGGATTCAGGATGTCAAATAATGTAAGAATGTGAAAACTTTATCTTTTAACAGGCACTCGGACCTCACGTATACTTTTACCAAGAAATAAACCAGAAAAGTGGGTATACCATGAGACAGTCAGTCCGCCTATTGCCTGCTGCTCGCTGTTCAGCAAGAGCCCTACGACTCCACAGCACGCTCCCTGAGCACTCAACCATCAGTGATGCCTCTCAGCCACGCATCAATGAGCTGGGCATCCCAATGCTCTCCCCTCGTCTACACGCCCAGGTGTTTGGACAGGATCCTGCCCCTGCAGATCCGGCCAGGGTGCAGGAGGCGGTCGCCCACCTCTCTGAGCATGGCCTGTGGGGCCGCACAGCTGATGTGTTTGACGAGCCCCAGATTGACATTCCACCCCTGAGCTCGGAGTCGCTGGAGGAGCACTTTCGGCTGGAGGCGGAGCGCCAGGCGGGCCCGTACCGGCGGCTGTTGGAGGCGCTGGTGGCCGGCGAGATCCCTGCGCCGCCGCCGCCGGCCGGTTGGCGGCTGCAGCCGGGCTGGACGCGGTACCTGCCGGGCGGCTCGGCGGCGCCGGTGGACGCGCCTCCCTGTGACGCGCTCGTGTTTGACGTGGAGGTGGTGGTGCGCCGCCAGCTGCCAGTGCTGGCCACGGCCGTATCCCCGCACGCCTGGTACGGCTGGGTGAGCCCTTACCTTCTGCACGAGACGCCGCCGAGCGCGGCCTCCTCGGGGCTTTTGCTGCCCCAGCTGATCCCGCTAGAACCAAGCGGAGCGGTCCCCTCCGCGGACCGGCCGCGTGTCATCGTCGGCCACAACGTCAGCTACGACCGCTCATGGGTGCGCGAGCAGTACCGGCTGCGTGCCGACGGCACCCGCTTCGTCGACACCATGAGCATGCACATCGCGGTGGGCGGCATCACGAGCCAGCAGCGCTCCATGCTGATGGGCGCCCGCCGGCCGGCCGACTCCCGTCCGCGCCGCGCGCCGCCCGCCGACCTCGACTGGATGACGCAGACCAGCATGAACTCACTAGCGGACGTGTACAAACACTACTGCGGCGAGAAGCTCGACAAGGACGAACGAGACGTGTTCATCAAGGGGGACGTGCAGGACGTACGCGCGCAGTTCGGTCAGCTGATGAACTACTGCGCTGGTGACGCGCGCGCCACGTGGCGCGTGCTGCGCCGACTGCTGCCCGACTTTCTCGAGCGGTTCCCGCACCCGGTCACACTGGCGGGGATGCTGCATATGGGACAGGTTAGTAGAGCGGCATAGAGTGGGCTGCGTTTCCTACATAAAATAGGCCGTATTATCCGGTTGATTGTTGAGATTAGATCTACTTTGGTGTTGGAACGCTTCTTTCGTGACCATTGTTCATCAGCAGCTGGGACCTTGATGATAAATCTTATTAAATATTTCATTAGATCAAAGGTAGATGTTTATTGTTCTCGATTCGTTTTATGATTTATTTCCACTATTCAGATGTGTCGTATTTCCCTTGGGTTGTCCCAAATCCCATATGTAATTACCCTCCCGTCTGTTCCACTGCCCTTCGTACTGCCCTGCAGGTCTACCTGCCGGTCGGCCCGGCCTGGCAGCGCTACCTGCGCCTCTGCGGGGAGACCTACGACGACCTGGAGAACGAGCTGAGCGCCGCCCTGCGCCGGGTGGCCGACGCCGCGTGCCGGGCCGCGCACCGCCGTCGACACGAGAGTGATGTGTGGCTCTGGGACCTCGACTGGAGTGTGGCGGAGATGAAGGTGAAAAAAGTGACCGCTGCTGCCGCTAAGCGGGCTGCCAAGGCCGCTGCGGCTGCAGAGGCGCCTGCTGTGACTAGGAAGGGAAAGAAGGGGAGAAAGAAGGCTGAGGTGGCTGGCCCGCCGCGGCTGCCGGCTGACTGGCAGAAGCCGTGCCGCCGGCTGACTGAAGCCGAGTTCGACAGTGACACGCCGCTGCCGCAGCCGCTGGCCGCGTGGTTCGCGCCGCTCTGGGCTACCGCCGAGCGACTGTACAAGCGGCAGCCGCTGCTGCCCGGCTACCCGAAATGGTACAGAGAGCTCTGTAACAAGGATGGCTCGGGTGAGTAGGTAGATCGGGGGACGGTGCCAATCCATGGGCCAGAGCAATGCTCAGAGATCTGTACCGCGTGCAATTAACGCATGCAATCTGTTTGTGAAAAGGAATAAGAGAAGCAAAGGGGAAGGAAGCGGCTTGTGCCTATTTTTTTGTTCCAAATATTTTTTAACACAGTTAAGCACGCTTTGCAAACATGTTTTTATCCAACGTCTTGGACTTAATCGTTTGTCCATATTTGTTTTTCCTTGGACATAATTGTTTGTTCGTCTTCGGCAGTGAGACATCACTTGTTTTTTCATGTGGGATATTGTTTTATAAATGATGACCGCCCGCTGTTGTCGCTCTCAGTATAGCTGTCCGTGCCTCCCGTTCCTCGATCCCTCTCACCTGCTCTGACCCTCCCCTCCCCTCTTCGCAGGTCTAACCGAGCTGACCCTCCTTCCCCTTGCCTCCCCAAGATGTGACCGTTTTTCCCCTCTTCTAGGTCTGACCGAGCTGACCACCTCGAAGCGAGTGGTGCCCAAACTACTGCGCCTGACCTGGGACGGCCACCCGCTGCACTATGACCGCCGGTTTGGCTGGGGCTACGTGGTGCCCGGCCGGCCGGATGACCCGGGTGACCCCTGGGACGGCGGGACGGCCGCGGAGGGTGTGTGTTCGGGCGATGAGCCGGAGTGGTGGGATGAAGATGCTGCCCGGCACGCTGAAAGAACTGATCACTCCAGTGAGGAGGGTGCGGAGGACGGTTCTGCGTTCCCGCTCCCCTCCCTGCTGGCAGTATGCGCGGAGCGAGGTGACCGACCACTCTCCGACACGGAAGCCCTGCCAGTCCCGGACGTCAACCTCCGCGGCGCCTCATTCTACCCCCTACCGCACCGCGACGGGCTGGGAAACAACGTCGGAAACCCGCTCTCCAAACACTTCCTGGCACAGGCCGAGGCGGGGGTGCTGCGCGCGGCTGCCGGAGCCGGCTCCTCGGCCGAGCGTGTGCTGCGAATCAGTCAGACTATCTCCTACTGGAGGAACAACCAGGAGAGGATCCTGTCTCAGCGGGCGGTGCTGGCTTCGGCCGACCAGCAGCCGCCGTCGGTGACAGAGAGCGCAGAGTTCAGCGGCGGGCAGCTGTACGGGGCCATCCTGCCGCAGGTGAGACGAGCGCGCCGCGTCGCCGGAGGGGGGGGGGGGGGTTCTGAGCAGACGCCAGACATAGGAGTGGCTCAGCCCAGCTGTGATGTCAGGTTGTGGCCAGCGCACGGGTAGTCTTAGTTTGCTAGTGATATACCACAGATCTGAAATTTTTGAGTGGTTTCTCACGGTATTGTGGTGTTAAAACAGGTGTCAGCTTTATCATTATTTTGAAATAGGTATGCAATAAGCATTGCTTGCGTTGTTGTTAGGTATTCGAATCTCTTGGCGTAACTGCAAGCATTGAAGGGAGTATACTTAATTATTCTAACAGTTTCCCTAAAGTCATCGAATATGAATATATTTAACGCAGATATACGTAATAAACGGTGACTTAACACCTTACACAGCTATGCACTACGCAGAAGGCTGTGTTCACTGATGATTCTTAACTCCTTCCTCGCTCCCCCATACGCGGACGCCGCCCTTTCGGCCGCTGCAGGGGGTGAGCTGTCGCGCCCACTGGCAAGGCGCCCTGTGTGTATCTTTGTCTGTCTGTGTGTCACCTGCCTGGCTGGACCCAGTGTGCAAGCAGCACTCTGCCAACTATCCCTAACTCAGATTAATCAATTTGTCCCTAACTCAGCTATCCCTAACTCAGTGCATGTGTCGCACCTCATCACGTGATTGAGATCACGAGTGGCCACAACTCCTTATCGACAGGAGGCTTCATTATGTCAGTGTGTTTTCTTTGTTTTCAGTTAGTCATTGGTTGTTAGAAGGGTTTTGTTAGATATAATTTGACGCCATGGCTCTTTGAACAGCTGCCCCTCTGCTAAACCAGTTTTCGTGATGCTGAATGACGTTCTTTTTAGTTTCTGGCTTGCAGAGCTCCAGCAAGGTTTCGTTCAATTTACGTTTACTACGCGTTATCGAACATTGCTAATACGTTGGATGCCCTCGCTAAAACCTTCATTGCTCGCAGTCCATCATTTGAGGCCTGTGGATTGGAGGTGATTTATAGGTGACATCGTTTGTGGTCCGTCTACGTCATTCCAGTCATTCACTTATCGAAGTTTTTAAAACCGTTTTATGTCTCCATATGTGCAGCTGGATTTCCGTTGTACTATGTACTGTGGAATTGAGCCAAGATTGCTCTACGAATCAAATGACATCTGAATGTTATTTTTCGTCGCAGTTCTTACCGTTGCGTTGAATTTGTCATCGGTAACGTATGTACTGTTAATCTACCTATACAACAGGCTGGAACGTAACCCATCCTGACCCTGGCCGTTACGATTAGCTCTTCCCTGACCCCGGTTAGGGTGGCTGATGCCCTGGCCGTCCCCCTTCCCCAAGTGAAGGCGGCCGATACTGTCTTACTCTTTCCTTTCCTCAGGTGAAGACCGAAGGTAGCCGGTACACTGACACTTTCCCTCCTCCATCAGGTAAAAGTAACCGTTACACCGATCCTCCGCCCCCTGCCTCAGGTCAAAGTAGCCGGTACGCTCACCCGCCGTGCGGTAGAGCGCACTTGGCTGATTCCCCCTCCCCTCCCCCCCCCCCAGGTGAAGGCAGCCGATACACTGACGGCCTCCCCTTCCCCAGGCAAAAATAGCTGTCACACTGACCCTCCCTCCCGTCCCTCAGGTAAAGGTAGCTAGTACACTGACCCGCGGGGCCGTGGAGCGCTCCTGCCTGACTTCTCCTATTCCTGACTTCTCCTATTCACTCGCTTGGCTCAGGTCAGAGTAGCCGGTACACTGACCCTCCTGTCCCTCAGGTAAAAGAAGCCTTACACTGACCCTTCCCTCCCTCCCTTCCCTCAGGTCAAAGTAGCCGGTACGCTCACCCGCCGCGCGGTGGAGCGTACCTGGCTGACGGCCAGTAACGTCCGCTCTGACCGTCTGGGCTCGGAGCTGCGTGCCATGGTACAGGCGCCGCCCGGATATCACCTGGTGGGAGCCGATGTAGACTCACAGGTCAGAGCGGGGAGAGGGGAGGGAGGGGCTAGAGAAGGGAGAGGGGAGGGAGGAGCTCGGTCAGATACGGAAGAGAAGAGGGGCTGGGTCAGACTGGGATTGGGATGATATGCAATAATCATTCTGGAATGGAAAATGGATTGGAATGGGTAGGGAGAGGGTGGAAAGGACAGGTCGAGTATTTGGAAAGCAGTCAGATTTGAGAGTGGAAAAGCCCAGTGTCTGCACCGTACTTTTTTACAATAAGAAAACATGTTATATGATGTTTTCTGAAACAAACGATGTCTTTTTTTCTGAAAGTAACTACAGTTGTAGGCTGACAAACTGTGTCGCTCTTTATCTGTGATAGTTGACACCGTGTCACTGACACCTGTATCTGCGCCTCCAGGAGCTGTGGATTGCCGCTGTGATCTCGGATTCCGCCTTCGCTCGGATCCACGGCAGCACCGCGTTCAGCTGGATGACACTCCAGGGTGAGAGCATGACGAACGGGCAGTGGAGGAACATAGGGACGGGCTGGCACTGCTAGAGGGAAGGACATGGCGCTAGTCTGACTCGGAAATGACCAGAGAAATACACCGTATTGGTGCCCTCGAAAACACAAAGGGCACCAATAAGATGACTTACTGTGATTTAGCCGCCCATATTTTTGAGACAATAATCATGAATGGATACTGCAGCAAAAAATGTTGACGGTTACGACATTCAAGATCAATGAACCTTGAATTCGTGTCAATCAGTTTCCCCTATCTGGTGTAGTCTCAGGTGAATACTTTGAATGTCCAATCCGCAACCTCTGCCTAACCTTCCATACTCTCCCTTATTTACCTACCCCCGCCCCCTCACCCCAGGTAAGAAGTCGGAGGGCACGGACCTGCACTCTCGCACGGCCGCTCTCGTGGGCGTATCACGCGACCTGGCTAAGGTCCTCAACTACGGCCGCATCTACGGCGGAGCACGGCCGTTTGCCGTCCAGCTGGTCCGCCAGCACAGCGGCGGTCTGCCTGCCGGGGAGCTGGAGCGGCGGGTGGCCGAAACGTACCGCTCCACCAAGGGCAGCCGGCGCTGGACGCTGAACGAGCGGGGCCGGGCAGCACTGGGCCGCGTCAGGGAGATGGCAGAGGATATGGAGGTGAGGAGAGAGACGCAGGAGGGAAGGGAGGGACGGGAGAAAATGATGGTACTCACGTGTTATAAAGTTCACACTCTCGTGCGATTGAGATAGCGTCAAATCTGGCACAGAGAGAATGCTTAAATTCACGAGAATAGTGCGATCTTGTCATGACGAGATTGTTGGGTTACAGAACTGGAAATTGTTAACTGCACTTTTGAACTACTGTAGTTATTGCTTCATCGACGTCTTGCTGACACCCAGCTCTGTTGCAGCTTGTGTAGTCTTCCCTGTTAAATTATACTTAAGTTAATTCGTTGGTTACCACTTACCATTTGAGTTGCTAAGGGTGAGCTGTTCTACGGCTGCCCCTGACAGGACCCTGACCCGCTGCTCTTTGAGTTGGTGCGTTTTGCTGTCTCCGTTATCTATTCTCTCTCTGTCTCCTTCCCTCAGGACCCGGACCCGCTCCTGTCTGAGCTGCTCGACTGGCCCGAGGATGAGCCGTGGCCTCCCGCTCAGCTGATACGTCTGGCGCGTCTCTCTGGCGCCGCCCACCACTGGAAGGACCTGGCCGCCCGGCCCGTCTGGCACGGAGGCACCGAGAGCTTCATGTTCAACAAGGTGGGCGGCAGGTTCGGCCTCTCAGGCTGGATGGCCAGTCAAGTGCAGTGAGCTGAGAGGCGCTAGAACAGATTTTTTTCGGAATGTCGGGGCTCCGATAAATTCCCTTGTCTCACGGTGTCTGATCGCTCTCCCGTTGCCGGGAATGTAAGAGCTGCCGATTCCGGTCATTCCAGTGAGCTCTAGCCTACTATCTCCTACGTCTCAATTGTGAAGGGTGACGTGACGTGATTCTCTGGCTAATGAGCTACAGCCCTCGTCTCACGCACTCCCATTTCAGCTGGAGTCTAGTCAGCGACTCGTCCCCCTTTTCATTAAGATTGTAACCAGTGACTCGTCCCCTAATTCAATTGAAGTGTTACCAATCCCCCCATACACACAGTCCAGCTGTAGCCTCTAGCCAGTGACTATTCCCCTCCACCTGACTGCAGCTGGAGTCTGTGGTCAGTGCCCCTCTCCCCATTTCGGTTAGAGTGTAACTCTGTCCCTCTATATCCAGCTGGAGTCCCTGGCCAGTGAGTTACAGCCGGCCACGCCTGTACTGGGAGCCCGCCTCAGTCGCGGCCTCGAGCCGCAGCTGGTGGGCGACAACTTCACACCGTCTCGGGTCAACTGGGTAGTGCAGAGTTCGGCCGTTGACTTCCTCCACCTGATGACCGTCTGCATGCAGTGGCTGATGGAGACGTGCCACATCGAGGGGCGCTTCTGCATCAGCATACACGACGAAGTCAGGTCGGTGGATGGGAAACCGGTGGAAGTCAGAAATCGGTGGAAGGGAGTGAGGCGTGGAAGTGCGGTCGGTGGGTATTTGTATTTGAGAATTCAAACACTCCGGGGTGAAATGGCTATTCCGAGTGTCGAGTCAGAGTTAAAATAGGAAACAACTTCCTAGAAGTTAGAGAAGCTCTTACATGGTTGAGGAGGGTCGGGAAACCAGACTGTTAGGCATGATGAGGGTCGGCAAAATCAGGCCGGTGAATGGGGGATTCGGGAAAGTCTCTTTCCGGAAGTTCCACATTAACCATCGCGTGCCTTTGCAGGTACGGGGACCCGCAGTTGCTACCTGTACACGAACCCCAAGTCTAACCGTCTGTCCTGTCCAGTAACAACCGATAACATTGATATCGGCTGCTGGTCCCTGTACAAGAGCAGCTGAGGTTTCCTGTGAGTACCCTCTGACAGCTTATCGTTGTTCCCTGTGAGGGTGCTGGGACAATTTACTCAGGGTCGCTGTACAGTAGCAACTGCGGGTCCCTGTACCTGGTACGCTCCGAGGACCGGTACCGCGCCGCGCCGTGTCTCTGTATGTACCCCAGTGACCCCCTGTACCCTACATATACCTCTGTGACCTGTACTGTACACCGCAGGTACCTGGTACGCTCCGAGGACCGGTACCGCGCCGCCTTGGCTCTTCACATCACCAACCTTCTGACCCGCTCGCTGTTCTCGCTGAGACTCGGACTGGACGACCTGCCGCAGTCGGTGGCTTTTTTCAGTGGCGTGGACATAGACAAAGCGCTGCGGAAGGATGCGACCAACGATTGCAGGTCAGGCGGGGAAGGGGAGGGGACGGGATTGGACGTGAGGGGAGGGAGGATGAAACTCTGGGGTCAAAGCCCTGTGCAGTGTTCTTGACTTTCGTACTATATTGTATATACATTGTATTGTATATCCTTTATTTCCTTATTATATATCCGTATTGTACATATATCCCGACCTTGAAACTGGCTCCATGTGCCATTTGGATTCCGTCGAACTTAGACCCCCTGTGTGCTGTTCTGACTCACACCCCTGTGCCCCCAGGACTCCGTCGAACCCTCACGGTCTCCACGCTGGCTACGGCGTTCCCCCTGGCGAGGTGCTCGACATTCACCAGACAGTGGCGCGGGTGGGACCGTCCCCACTGCCGACCGGCCGGTCAGCCGGGGCAGAGTGCAGTGGTAACGCGGGGGAGAGTGGGGGATAGAGAGAGAGAGAGAGAGAGAGAGAGAGAGAGAGAGAGAGAGAGAGAGAGAGAGAGAGAGAGAGAGAGAGTGAGTGAGTGAGTGAGTGAGTGAGTGAGTGAGTGAGTGAGTGAGTGAGTGAGTGAGTGAGTGAGTGAGTGAGTGAGTGAGTGAGTGAGTGAGTGAGTGAGTGAGTGAGTGAGTGAGTGAGTGAGTGAGTGAGTGAGTGAGTGAGAGAGAAGAAGAAGAAGAAGAAGAGAGAGTGGGAGGCGAAACGGCAGCGAGCTTGCGCCACCCGGTGTCATTTTAACGCGCAGCTGTGTTTAGGAGCTGTGTTTGGCACTCGAGCTTAGCTCACAGTGGTTTGTGCGACTTCACCGAGCTGTGAAATGAAAGGCGAAGTGCTGGTGCCAGTGTTTTGGACCGGTACCATTACCGTGGACATTGATAAAGCTCAGGGTACCGACTACCGTATGATGTGTGCTGTACCGTTACCAGTTAGTTGTGCTGGTATGGCTTAGGGTACCTTTTTGAATGGTTTTCTAGTCTTCGTCAGTCAAGTAGTGCCAATACTTTCTTTATAAGAAAGTACTTAAAGTTATTACTCATTCAACAGTCGTCATCACTGTGGGACTCGATGGACGCCAATGACCACCGCAGTCCAGGCGCTCTTGACCCCCAAATCATCATCATCATTACCACTGCGGGAAGACTACCACTTTGGTATTACCACTGCGGGAATACTACCACTGTGGTATTACCACTGCAGGAAGACTACCACTGTGGTATTACCACTGCGGGAAGACTACCACTGTGGTATTACCACTTTGTGAGTGGATCGTCACTGTGGCGTCTGACGGCGTCTGTGAGCCGCTGTGAGCAGCACTGTGAAAACTCGCTCTGGACTGTGTCCATACGAGTACATTCTGCGGTGGAACTCCCCCGGAGTATGGCCCTTCACCCTGGGCGAGACAATCACAGTGCCCGCGTCCCACGGATCGCTTATCGTCCCCTGCGACCCACGCCTCAGTTGTGCGCTCAAAACGTCGATAGTTCGGAGAGCCGCCCGCACTGAACTGTCGGTAGCTTCGTCTCGCTTAGTAGGCTGTGAATGCACTTGTTATTTTTCTTAGGCGGTGTCTGCACTTTTTACCAATATACGCGAAATGATACCCTTGTGTTTATTGAAATGGATTCGAGATGGATGCGATGCATGAGATGATTATTGATTCCATGGTGACCTGACCCCCGACTGGCCACTGGGGTTCAGGGATAAGAATAGAATCAGCCGTCCCGCTCCGATTGGCTGTTTATGTGCCATATTGACGAGAACTACCTTGTATATTTAAACATTGACGTTCTTCCCGTTTTACGGCAAGGGCAAGTGGCACGAAACATAACTTCACTTGCCTATTTTATTTGTTGATTTGCTGCTATAAGCACACATCCGCCATGGATGTGTTTTCCACAAGGGTATTTTGACACTCGTCTTATATGCCCAGTGTTTGTTGTCTGAAATTGCTATAAGTTCCCAATACCTCCCCCTCCCCCAATACCGTCCTCTTGAATGTTCCGAAACATACAGATCACTCGACTCTTGAAGCGTGATCGCTCGAGGCACGTCCAGACAATAAAACAGCATAGGGTAAAGCAAAACAGGAGGTTCTCCGGAGCTCGTTTGTTTACCTTGTAAACAAGCCGCCGTGTCGTATCATCTTGATGTCACACAAACAGTCGCGGCAGCGGTTGGGGAGCGAACCACTTCTTCATTCTTCTTTCCAACCCGGAACTGAGAGGTTAACACGCGCACCGACGCAGCGTGGGCGATCCGGCCGGTGTAGCCTCGCGAAACCTATCGGCATTCATAACATCCATGTTTTTGAAGCTAGAGCCACAATATTTAGGAGCAACCTTCTTCAATATCCAATGAGCATATGTTTTGAATAAGGACTATCTCTTATAGGATTTGTGCTCTGTGGCGAGCTTGCAATTTGCCTAATTGCTGCTCGAATAACGCATGAATACTTTTGAGGGTAGGTCGAAATTTATGACGATATGAGCTGGGTAGGACATTGAAATGGTGTGTACCTCCGTAGAAAATTGCTTCCAAACCAATTTTTTATTCAAAGGATTATGCCCTACCAATATAAACATATCATGAAATAGCGTAAATCTCGCCCGGCAAGGCCCCATTTCATAATGTGACCCAAGCAGCGGGTTTGGTTTTTGGTACCTAACTAACTTCGCAAAAAATGGCCGCAGAACCACGATTTTGACATCGTCGTGTTAGCCTTGCTCAGGTGCGTCGAATGGTATACTTTTGTTCAGGTGAGGCCACCGTAAGGTCAACCTGACCTTGACCTCGAGGTCAGGTCAGGTCAGAGGTCTTCAAATCACGAAGTTGGTCGAAGGAGGTCATATCGCATATCATTCGATTCGGCAGGTCTTCCGGAGTCCATTGGTGACCTTGTCGACTCTCTAGCTCAATTTGATCGGGAGTTATTGACGAAAAACTCGTATGACCTTAGTGACGTCATAAATGACGTCATGCAAGGTCAACAATGCAAAAATGCAGCATCAGATCTTGCAAGGAGTGCATGAAGTAACGATTCCATGTACTTGAGACAATTGAATATCATTCCTGGCGCCAAAATAATAGTTTTCATATTTCCCCATTGATTTAGGTATAGGTGAGGTCACGTGACCAACCTGACTTTATGTGACATTTAGGAAAAATCTGAGATATACAAGTTGTAAGAACCCTGAAGGACAATAAGTCCTGCAAGTCTCACCTCCCTGTGAAAGTTACTCTGGCACTGAGAGCGTTGCAAGGTTGCGACATCTGAGGATCGTGCGGAGGTTCATTTATGACGTCATAGGTCAGTGACCTGACTGACCTGACTTAAAAGTGCGATTGGTGTCACAAGATCCAGCGTGCATCAAAGATCATGTATGCCAGGGTGCAGCTCTCTATTGCCTGGGTGTTTTGAGCTATCGCGAAAACACCCTTTGGGGCATTTACCACTTGTGCTCAAGTGCACCAAGCCACGGCCAACCCTTATAAGAAAAAAAAGTGTCTGGATGCCAGGGCTGCAAGTGGCTGCAAATTTTCACTGGCTCCCCTAATAGATAGTGTCTTAGTGCATGCGATACCTACAGCATTATTTTCAGTTCATCCTCGTAAAACTTTTTTTGCTGGGCTTGGTTAATTCAGTGAACGTAATGTTCGGCGGTAGAAAAAATATAAAAGTTAACCAAATTATAAGACATTTTGAAGTTTGAACTGATTTTGTCGACTTGCTTTCTATGGCGGAATCGTCTAAACATCTAAATTTCACTTTCCATGCAAAATGGATGCTCAACACCTAGCAATTTCATTGTTCCGCAACATATTCAAAGAGCGTAGAAATCGGCTGTGATTATCCCCCTTATCCCTCGCCCGCACATGGGGGGGGGGGGTGGTTGCCACCCCCCCAGGTAGTCTTTCTGCTCTGCACTCAACATTTTTAGAGCTAGAAGGCTGATTTTTCGTATAGCTGCTCCTCTATCCTTTCTTGATGTCCACTGAAAATTTCAAGTTTCTGTGATTTTTGGTTTCGGAGATATGACCTTGTTTTTCAGGTCATGTCATGACCCAAATGGCCAATTCTCAACATCTTGCGTTTGCCATGGGCCTTATGAGCTTTTGACACCCTGATTTCGGCCTTTTTTGCCAGTCTTACCTCCTACCTATCATGGAACATGTTGTTTGACGATGTACAGGGGTCAAGGTCAGGGTCAAGGTCAACCTAGGTCACCTAAGATAATTGCGTTTTAGGCAAGCTGAATTTACTTTTTTTTTTGAAGTTTTTTGACTGCATTTTTGGTAAAAGCTTCTCAGATCATGATTTCATGTAATATGGACCCAAAAACAATCGGTGCACACATCAGTATACACACAGACACACACAGACATACAAACACATATAATTGACCTTGACCTAACTTGACCTGAAATGACCTCAGCAGCAAAATTCTGGTCGGGTAGTGTGACAAAGAGGTTCTAGCTGGCTTGGCACCAGAAAACAGCATCGTCATCGGTATTTGATAAGCAGCACACTTGATATCCAACGGTGACCCAAAACAGCAACATTTTTTAGTTTGACCTGACCTGGAAGGTCAATGACTGACCTGAGAAGGTAAAACTGGGTATCATTGGATTCGTCTCTTCCCAAAGAATCTTTTTGGTCTTTACTGCTAAGCTCTATCTCCAACAGGAACGAAATGGCGCGGGGGGGTGGCAACCACCCCCCCCCCCCCCATGTGCGTTCTAGGATGGGAAAATGGCATGTGCGGGCGAGGGTTATGAAGTGTTGCGGAACGCTGTCTTTAACGATACTTTTGTCAACGAAAAAATGTCTCCTGAGCCATGCAAATGCACTAATCGTAATCTTTGATGAATTTGCTGTCGACTAGTATGCGTTGTTTTCCAATTTTCGGAAAAAGTGTCTTTGAGGTTTCGCGAGGCTAGACCGGCCCGATCGCCTACCGTGCGACGGGGGGGGGGCGGATATCCGCCCCCCTGAGGTTTTTCGCAAATAGCGGAAACGCCGCGAAATTTGGTACCACTATTCTCTCATCAATTTTACACATGGTGTGCAAGTTTGAACCTTCTAACTTTCAAGGTCAGGTCACCAGGTCACTTTGAATGACTCAACCTCAAGTCACTTTTTTGCAACTTTGTCACCGTGCCAGAGCTACAGTAGATGTCGGAGGCCTTTGAAAGTCGCAGGATGTTGCTAGGTCATTAGTAGCTACAATTTGTATATCTCAGAATTTCGATATCGGTGACCTAAGGTCAGGTCAATTTCTTGACCTCCCCATTAGGTACCTAGGTACAATGGGGAAAAATCAACTCCCTGTTTTTACCACTAAAACGGATCGAAATGGCCCATATACCATACATGACTTCATATACGATCAACCATCACTACCTTGAGGTCTGTTTTGCTGTTGGGCAGCTGTAAGGTCATGTGACGTCATCAAAGGTCACCAAAGGTTTTTTTGCCAATAACTCCGTACAGGAACAAGATACAGCCGCGCAGATGGTCTCATTGTGTTCAGCTCGTCAAGACGCATCGAATGATATGCATGA